CTTCCTTAGAGGTTTTTAAGGTCAGGCTTGACAAAGCCCTAGCTGGGATGATTTAGTTGGGATTAGGTCCTGCTTTGAGCAGGGTGTTGGACTAGATGACCTCCTGAGGTCCCTTCCAACCCTGATATTCTATGATTCTATGATTCTGTGAAGGTGGATGGGGAGTATGAGAAAAGAATTCTGTTCCCTTCTCATTGGCTGTCCTTCCACACCCTGCTTCCACTCATATCTTTTCTGCCCAATCCATCAGCCTCAACAGTATATGGTTTGACCACCATCCATCTTCTGCTTTTCCTTCATATCCCATACCTGAACTCAGCCTGTTTTTTATACTCATCCTCCTGCCTTCAGCCCATCCTCTACTGCAGCGCCCCAGGCACTACATAAATACATATTTCATTCTTTTTCCTCCCTTTCTTCCCCAATAACTTACATGATCCTCTGCAGCCCCAGTCCCCAGAAATCTGTGCTCTGCCCCCATACCCTCTCCTATTCAGTTGATCTTTGTACCTGTCACCACACTAATTTACTGCTCCTTGCCATCATCACTCAATCTTCTCCTCACTTCTCCTATAACCTGCTTTTCTGAGTTTCTTCCTCTAGTTACAGGCTCATCCTCAGTAGACTGTATGATGGACTTTGCTGATCATCTCCCAGGTATAAGAAAATAAACATTTGTGATTCCAATTAACCCTACCTCGTAACATGAACATTTTTTGTGGCAGGAAGCTCAACAGTGCAAAAACCCTGAAGGGTAGCCTTTTTTCTGTGTTAACACTCTCTGAAAACAAAAATAAAAATTTACAGAAATATATATTCTCTATATATCATATATATTTAGGTGGGCACAGCCTTGTTTTATTACAATTTAAACAAAAGAATTCAAAATCACTTTGCATCTAAATAGCTTGATAAATTATCAAAATTGTACATCATAAGAAATCAAAGTCAGAAAAATCAAAGTTTATCATTACCATAATTACTGTATACCACAGACCAAGCATCACAACCTTAGTTCTACCTCCTAGGAATGCCAGACTTTCAGCCTTTACCCATCCTTCCATATAAATCCCTTTAACAAGCAATGCCCTTCCAACAGAACAAACTACTCAAAGAGAGTGAGAAAGAGCAACAAAAGTCTAGAAATTCATTAATAACATTTTTTGGAGCCTAACAATTGTTCTGCTATGCTGCTGCATAGCCAGTAAGAAATATTTATGTGTGAAGGGAAGATACACTTATTTGAAGAAATATGTTATCCTTCTCTCCTTTTTTGAGAACTTTTGTGTTTCAGTTAAAGTGTTGAAAATCAGTTCAGACTTACCCATTTCTTTCCTGTGTTCTGTTATGCTGGCTCCTATAAAAGAAAAAAATCTTCACATTTATCTGTGTTAATTATTCAGTCCCATATTCTGTACATGGGCAAAAGTTCTATTGCCAGAGCCTAGGTCCAAGACCATTATTCAGCTATTTCATTCTTCAGAACGGAGTTCATATATTGTATACATTTAATTAACTAAAGATTGTTAAATTAGAAGATAAATTAACACAAATAAAATAAAATACAAGATTTTTTATCAGACTATATCACTTTAATAAATTTAACAATAAAATTCAGATATGAACTCCATCCTGTTGACCTTTATGCCTTACAAAAGGATAAATAAATCTTGTTAGTTACTCCTTTTTCTCGTAACTAATTTACTTGTCTAAAGTTCCACATGGAGTTCTAAAAAACAAACAAACACCTTGTTAACTGTAACAGACAATCTATCGAGGGTATACACCAAATAATATAAAGTACAATAAAATTCAGTGCAGTGAAATTTTTGGAAATCAGTGCATAATTATCTATTGTTTTCTTTTTTGTTTTTTTCCCTAAAAGAAGTTTTTTTCAAAGTATACATGTTTTAAAATCATAACCAGGAGGCTTATTTAAGCAACAAAAATGCCAAGATATGGTAGAGAGACCCATTATTCTATACTCATGTTGATGTTATGATTTACTGTTTTAAATTATTATTGTTTATTACAGAGATTACAAACATGTCATTAGATTCACCACACCTGTGACCTAAAACATTTTCATAATAAATCCCTGTTTACACTACTGACACACACCTAATAAATAATGCACAGCACCTAGTACAGTAGGGTCCCGTTCATGACTGGGGCACCTAGGTGCTACCATAATATGCCTGATAAATAATGTACAGTGACTAGCACAATGATATTCTTGTCCATGACAGGGGCTTCCAGGCACTACCATAAGACACCTAATAAATAATGTACAGTGCCTAGCACAATGGGATCTGTGACAGAGTGCAGGAGGTGAACAGGCAAGCCTGTACTCTGACCACTGAGATGTTAAGTAGTTCCCATTGAGAAAGCTGATGGAGGTAATTAGACAATCAGGTTGGTCAGCTCGGTGGGATAAGGAGCCAACTGTCCCATCAGCCCAAAGCTGATAAAAAGGCAGGATTTTCCTCCAAAGGGGAAGAGAGAGGGGGCCAGGGCTAGCTGAGCCAGTTACATGGAGACCTCAAGGGAGGGAGACCTCTGCTCCCCCCAGGGCTTGGAGAGAGGGCCAGAATGCACTGTCAGTGCTGTAAATAGTATGGAGATTGTTGTGGAAATGGGAGGCAACTTCAATAAAAGAGTATGGTGAAGGCACAACAACTGGAGTCTGCTCAGTTTCTGCTCAGAGAAAGGTTGGAGAGAAGCCACACCCTGTGACAGGGTCCTATTCAATGATTGGGGCACTTAGGCACTACTGTAACACCCTTAATACATAATATACAGCACCTTGCACAGTGGGGTCCTGGTTCAGGGATGGGGCTCCTTGGCACTACAATGATACAAATAATTCATAGATTCATAGATTATAGGACTGGAAGGGACCTCGAGAGGTCATCGAGTCCAGTCCCCTGCCCGCATGGCAGGACCAAATACTGTCTAGACCATCCCTGATAGACATTTATCTAACCTACTCTTAAATATCTCCAGAGACGGAGATTCCACAACCTCCCTAGGCAATTTGTTCCAGTGTTT